CACATAGGAACACACTGCGTATGACAATAATGCAAACAGTTACTTATGATTCTGAAGTTTTCTTTCAAACAGCCTTATTCTGACGTTGAACAATAAATAAATCCTATCATCAGAGTATCTCACACGCCTATGTACAAGTATTTAAAACTGGGTGCAAAATGGAAGTCACAATGACAGGCTGAAGCACCGACGATTTAAATGCACCAATGACTTAAGACACGCTGCATAAACAAAAAGAGGATATATTCCATTCATCCCACCCTCACAATACTATCCACCCCACACTCAAGCACACAGCTTACAAGACTACCAACATTTAACCCACACAATCCAAACATTAATCCAATCATTGATCCGGAAACATCTCACCATAGACAGATATACGATTATGGAATGGCTGTGCAGGGCAGTGCATAGTGGCAGGGTCATGAAAATATTTTAATGGATAATTAGCTAAAGATGCATATAGACCTCCTAGACTTGGAGAACGAGAACTTGTTTCTTTCTCTTGACTCTCATCAGAAGAACTCCCTGAGATCATATTCAGAATCTTTGTGGTGATGGACAATAAATTCTGTCTCTTATTCTCTAGTGGCGACTTTGAAGTTGGCTCGGCAGCTTTTGCTGTTTGCAACACTTCGTTTCCTTGCTGCTGCTGTATTACATCTTCTAAATGAGACTTAAATTTTTCAATGGCTGGGTTAGTAACCACTTCTTCTTCTGTATCATGTTTTTCGGAATTCTGTGGTTCTTGCGCAGTTACAGACTTTGCTTGCCCCTGCTCTGTCTCCCTAGAGGAGGCACCAGGACTCACCTGGACTACAATCACCTGCTCTTTTACACTATCTACAGTGCTGGTCACCTGACCTTGACCCACTCTCGCCTCCTCAGATGCTGCGGCAGTATCTTGTGAAACTGTTTTCATTGACAAGTCAACTTTTCCATCATGCTCTCTCGTTCCTTGTCCAATAATTCTATTGGACTCAGAATCAAAAGTATTAGAATTCTGCAAATCTGAATTTCCTTCTTCAACAGATTTACCGTCAACTTTACCAGAATTAGCATCTACTTTTGAGTCAGCTATTTGATCTGAATGACTGCTTACTACTTCCTGGTTATGTGACTTTTCTTCATCCAGTTGACCACTGCTGTTTTGTGGGACTTCCTTTGCACCCATTTGCACAACTTCTCTGAAACCTTCCTCATTTCGTACATTGTCGTTGATCCCTTGCAAACCCTCTTCCTCAATACCCTTTTCCATATGCTTGTATCCTTGTTCTTCTTTCAATTCTTGCTCTAGCAACCTTGCTCTTTCAGCTGTGATGTTCTTTACAAGACTGTCAATATCGAGATCATCAAAGCTAGAGATATTCATATAATTCCTTTCCACCTCTGCTGTTCTCTCATTCTGAGACACATGTTCTTTTTGCGAATTTTGATTTTGGAGTTTTTCTTTTCTCTCTTGCTCATCAAATGCATCAAAATCAGCATATTCCTCATCATCATCATCTTCTTCATCGATATCATTGCCTGCTCTATGATGCAAGTACTGATGTATATCTTTACCATTATTCCCACCAGAAAAACCTGACTCCTGCTGCTGCTCCTGCTGTTCTTGAAGCTGCTGTTGTTGCTGAAAATTTCCACTTTGTTCCTCCTCAACTGTCTTTATCTGTTTCTCCATTTTTTCTATCTTCTTCTTCTTTCTCTTTATTTTTGCTCTCCGTTCGCTATCACCTTCCTCATCCAAGTCCAAAAGTGACAAGAGATCTAAATTATCGTGAAAGTCTTGTAGCACCTGGTCCTCCTCTTTCTTTGCAGCACTACAGCAATGTACGGCCGCAAGATCAATAGGATGAGCTTCTGTGTTGAACACATACCCTCCAGCTTCAATCACACACTGCCCACTGGGTGTGTTCACCACGTCGCCATGGCTACCGTTGTTGTGAATGAAGTTGTCTGGGTCAAAGAGAAGGTACAAATATTTAGTCGTTTCTGCCAGGAAGAAGGACTCCATGCGGTCTTCCAGTCGGTGATCTCTCACATCCTTGACCTTTACAGAGAAAAATTCAGACAGACCAACAATCATTGGAAGGTGACAGATTAATTAAAGTTGAAAAGAAGATTAGAACTAAGAGCTTTCATTAACAAAAACCATTTTCATTTTAATAAATATCAAGAAAAAAAAAGTTTCTTGCACCTGATAAAAGACAGGGCCCAGAGAGTGGGAATGAGGAATTCACTCTGATGTAAAGACGACATGTTTTAAACTTTTATTAACATCATTTAAACCATTAAGGAAGCACACTTCTTTGATCTAGTGTCAGAGTCAACCCTTAGGGTACATCCACCCCCAAAAGAAAGACAGATACTTGATATAATAACTTGTCAGTGTGGGAATTGAACTCAAACCTTCACCTTCTATGTGTGAGGCGAAGAACCATAGCCTCTTATTCAGATCAGTAAAGCAATTTAGACTGACCTGCATGTGAGCCTCAACCAGATTGTCTGAAAATTTTGCGCACCCCCCCCCCCCAATAAGAGCTTTTGTGGGTGTCATAAGAGGAAGGACTTCCGAGTAATGAGCGACCATCCCAAACAAACACAATAAAGAAGAGACCTAACCCTAACCCTAGGCCTACGCCGAAAAAGAACCTGCAACGGCCCTCCTGTAAAAAGGCCAGCACAAGTCCAAAATGAAAAAAAAATTTAAAAATCCACACTCCAAAACAAACAAGGAGCATAGATCTACTATGGCCTTCTTTGCTATAATACGGTTTGATACAATAACACAATAGAATTGGAATATGAATCCACCATATAGATCTAGATCTAGTAATCTAAAAAAAAGAGTCTAGATGTAGTAGAACAAGTGAATAGAATTTATATTATAATTGGCCTTGAACGAGAAATCCGCATCCGATTCTAAACAGAGGGACTCATCTGAGTCTATAACTATAAAAATAAATAATTCACGCACCTGATGAAATGTTTTTTACCAACATTATTATTACAGCACAACCTATAATAGGGTTTGACACAATAGAATTGGAATATGAATCCTCCATTGAGGTCTATAATGATCTATAAATCTAGATCTAGAAGAACAAGTGAGTCGGACTTGAATGAACCCACATGAATCTTAACAATCAGTCAACAAACGAAATTCAAAATGGCCGCTCGAGCACGAAACTGAAAGTAGATAATTTAAGTCGTCGTCCTTTTCCATATATTCGTATTTCTACTCAAGTTCCGACAATTATGTCGGAAATGCCGACGTCGGCAGTTGGCACGAATACGAAAGTGCCGACAAAGCCAACGGGAGAAAAAGGGAGCGCTGGCAGTCGGCCAAGCCTCGCACTTCGCACATTGACTAGTACAGGTGAGCATAGCGATAGTATCGGCCGGCTCGCGGGTCGGGTCACGATTGTTGGATTTCAGACGATTGTCGGCAAACATGCAGGTCCAGCAATTGAAAAATTTTGTCAGTAAGTTGTAACAGTCTATGGGGAATAAGTAAGAGGAGAGAGGGGACTATAGAGAAGAACGAAAGCAGAGATGTATTATCAGATTTTCGTTAATTCAGAGAACTTGCTACATGGACAGAGAGGTGACTGTCATGAAGGGCTCAGTGCAATAATAACTCATGGAGAATGACCATGTTGGGTTATAAGAGAAAGTACAACATGGAACCCAAGAGGAAGGAAGCCAGATCACTACTGGTTGTAAACTGTTCTGTATTTGTGTAATATTGTGTATTTATGTATGTATTTGAGAACGTATTTATGTATATACCTATTTATAATATGTATTTATGTATGTATGTATGTTCGTCATTGTAAACCAATGGGACAAAAAAAAGTGTAATTTATTTATAAATTCTTTTTTTACTGACTGAGGATCACATTCCACAGAGAATCAACAAAGAAAAAGAGAGAAAGACCCCCCACCCAGACAAAATTTGTTGTAAGAAAACTTACAGTAGCATATCCACAGCTTGTTCTGGCACTGTGCTCAATTGCTTCGATGACATCCACTCCGATCTCCAGAAGGTACGGATCTTTTGTTGCTCGGTACAGATACATGACACTCTCCACAATCTCTGAAATGTGGCCAAATCAACTTGATGCTGAGTTCTAACGGTAAACAACTTGCAATTACAGTATAATAGATAGTTATGTATAGGATCGAGGTCCAGCATACTAAGTTTAAAAAAAAGTGATTTAACATGTCCTCAATGGGGGGTACACCCGTTATGCCGGGGCCCTCTTTTGGTATGAAATCTAAAATTAACATATACGTCACTAAACTGGTCATTGACCAAAAAAAAGAGAACCTATTTCAATAGTTTTTCATCTAATGAATGAATTCCTGGTAAAGGAGATATGTTTTCAGCAATTGCTGAAAAATAATTTGATGTCAAAGTAATCGTAATGGAAATTACCCGAGCCACTGCCAGCAGCTCACCGGTACAGCAGTTCTAATTGCGAGCCTCTAGGAGCAGCTTGCCGAAGATAAGGAGTTAAAGCGATTCCATATGTCCTCAAAGGAAGGAAGGGCTGCCTAGGAAATCTAGTAAAATTTTACAGCTAAAATATTGAACATAAACCAGCTGAAAGAAATGGGATATTTCCCCACATCGTTACACCCTAAAATAGAGTTAGCTGACTTACCTGGCCTGAGAGGGTAACCCTCCCTGCCCTGATGGACCTCAGCCTTTGGGATATTGTAGTATTCTGGGGTGAAGCCGAACTGGCGCCAGACTTGGTGGAAGTTGTGGATGGTCTTCATCGCCTCGTCCAAATCTCCCAGCATACCCTGGTGAAATCACACCCTCCAGATTACAATCTGTTTGCCTGTTTTACAGCTCCTCAAAATAAAGCTCATGTTACAGAGGTACAGTAACTATATCCCTGAACACGAAAACTTCGGTCAGCTCTATTATTTTACATTATTACATCAATAAACATCTTTACTTCTTGTGATTATATCTTACTATTTTTAAGAGAACAATCAGAGGAGCCGAAAATTAAAATATGTTTTGCAGAGGTGCAGAAGCACAAATATGAGTGCACTGTCCTCTGGTGTTAAAAGGTAGATTAAGGAAACAATGTCAATGAAAAGACAATGGTACAAGCAGTAAGAAAAGTGTTCATCAACCATCTGTGACATGAATAATTATGTCAAAACATTTTTTACACCATTTATGAATATCTTTACTTTGAACACAGAGAAAAAACATTTAAACCAAGAGAAATGTATGTGAGGATGTTGTTCCAGTTGGTATCAGTCCAGCAAAGCACAACCTTCTGCCTTGTGAACCAATGCCATGAAGCGGTGTGAGCAGGCTCTCTTAGACACTGACAAAAGTAGAAACGGGGACAAAAATACTTGAAAGTAGACAAGAGGAATAGAACTAACACACCTTGATACTTGGCCAGTAGCCGTCGAGTGATGTGAACATCGGCATAGTGATGCCGCCTTTGTTCATCTGTGCCCACATGTACCAGTCATCCCGCTTTAAGAACTTGTTGATAGCACTTTCATACTCTGAAAGAAAAACAAAACAAAACGGAAACCCAACAATTAGATAGTAGCCCAACTTTTTGCAAATCATTACAAGTCAGCATAATGTCACAACAGTGAGCCCGAGCTAACTGAATGCTGGAAATTGCTTATGTCACATCCAATCCTCCAATCTCAACATCTACAAGTTGATATAGAATTTTGAAGCTTTGGACATGACAACATGTGCTACATTAGAAGGAATCAATTGAGAACAAAAAAGCCCTCCTACCAATTTCTTTTCTACTCCTTTTCTTCTAAACTGCCAGCCAAAAACCATAACATGATCCTTTTATTTTTGTTAGGCTATATATTTTTCAAGAAAGAACAATCTTTCAACGACAAACTTTAAAAACCCCAAAGTGATTATTGCATCTTATGTATCTTTAAAGTGAGTTTATAACTTTCTGAACACAGCTTGACAATCTGACTGATAGAAAACACTGTCTTCTCTCTTTAAACCAAATTCGCAATTTAGTACCTGCCCCCAAATATGTGTGTGCCTGAAGAAAGGTTGGAAATTTTAAATGTCAAAATAAAAGCTTATTCCTTAAGCAACTTCAATGCTGAACACGCTGATTAAAAAAAAAATTTCCAATATCTTAAGCAGTTCTTAAGATATGTCACATTTTGTAACACAGGGTGTAAAAACGAAGTCTCGAGAAAACCACAATTTCTAGAGCATTTTTAACCTTCGGTGAAGAACAACAAGTGCAAAAAACAATTAATTTAAAATATTTAGGCTTAAATAATACAATCCTTTCAATATGTTATTAAGAAATGGTTAAATGAGTGTTTTCTGATGGAACTAAATTCTTAACCAGGTACAACTTTTTTGGCCATTCTATCCCGTTGCTAAAAAATAGCTTTTGCCAACAACTGAGGCCTTTCTCCAGGCAAACACATGAATATATACAACATATTTAAATATCTACACATAAAACAGCAGACAAGAAAAAAACAAAAAAACATTCACGAGCAAACCAAAATAAACGCTCACCTCTAAACATATGAATAAGCTCTGGCATGTTAAACAACACAGCGCCTTTCACAAGGTACTCAAAGTAGGAGTCGATTCCTCCACCAATGCCTGAGTCCATGGCCGTCCACCTCCCAGAGCTCACGTCTATATGATTGCCCAGCTGTACACAGATATGGAAAATAAGAAAAAGTAAGTGGTAAATTTGCTTTAGGCCTGTAAGCAAGGGTACATTAATAAACACTTTTATTGCATGTTTCATTTTATCAAGCTGTCTCTGTCTGTCTGTCTGTCTGTCTGTCTGTCTCTCTCTCTCTCTCTCTCTCTCACCAGTCCTATGGGTGAGCGGTACTTCCAGAGAGACCGAATAGCCCGCATGGCAGTTTTCTCAAAGATGGGATCCCCTGTGAGTCGACTCAAGGTACCAAACTCCACAAGAAATGTTCCGACCCCTGCTGTGCACGTTATAGTTGTTTCCCCTTTTGGCACTCCATGACGAAGATTGACTGTTCCGTATGGCATCCCAGTGGGTGTATCAAAAGCTGAGAAAAGAATAAAGAAGAGTGAAAAGTAGAAGGCATATATATATATGAAAATGAGGCTATCACAGAAAATGGAGAAGTTGCACCATTCAACGACTTCAAATACATGCTGAGATATATTAAAAACGGCAATCAGTCAAAACTTAAATAAAGAGTGAAAAAAAAATTAAAATCAAATTTTAAAGTTTGACACTAGTCTTGTAATAATCCCCCCCCACCCTCTTTTCTCATTATGAAAGTTGCATTTATTTTTCAACCCATTTTTAAAAAGAGAATAAACTTTATTTATTTGGATATTTGATAAGACTAATCATTTATGCTAGTTTTAAATGTGTCTTAAAAAAGTAATGTGTAAATCTTGCAAGTACAGTATTTATGTCACCAACCAGGCAAAATTTTCCTGGCGATGCTGTCAGCCATACGGAGCAGAGGACCAGAGCAAGGCCAAGCCGGTTCCACAACCATCCCTGCTCTCTTCATCATCTGGTGTGCAGACAGGAGACCTCCGACGACTGAAAAGAAAAGGAACAAATCATGAAGTGCAAAAGTGCATTAAAAAGTCCAGGCAGAAGTCATAACAGCGAAAATTTAGAACCTGACTTGGTCTAACTTTCAGTATTACCTTGAAAGAGCGCATGTTACATACACAAAAGAATAGCAAAGCTAATCTATTTACAATACATGTACTTTGGTCATAAATAGCATTTCCATCCTTAAGCAGGATAGTCTAGTTGAAATTTGAAGCGTAAAACTGAACCTGAACATGCTAGAAGAACTTACTTCTGATGTTTGTTTCAAACACAGACACGTTAATGTCCATGTCGAAGAAACCTTCCCCTTTGCTGATGAGGATGTCGGAGATCCTCCGGAACTCAGAAAAGTTTCCCATCACAGCCAGCGTGTCAAGGGCATCAATCAGGGTCAGAGAGTAACTGAAACAAAACATTAAGAGCACTATAATCAAGAATGTCAGATTCTCCACACAAGATAAACCCGGCAAGATAAAATAAAATATGGAAAAATGCAATATTTTGGTGACTTAAAATGACACAAGACCATAGTGAAAAAGTGTTTAAAGGAAGGAGGTGGGGCAGCAGAGCCAGGGGAAGACAGGAAGGAGGTGGGGCAGCAGAGCCAGGGGAAGACAAAGAGTAACATCGGAGGACAACATTAAACAACGGACTGGCCTCAGTATAGTAAAATGAACAACGGCAGCATGTGACTGTGAAGGCTGGAGGGTCATTTCACGTCAACCTCTGAGTCAGAGATGACACCTCTAGCTATTCCAGCTTAACAAGAAACAGTGAAATAGTGAAAGATCACCACCTTCTTTAATCAGGTAATGGTAAAATTGAAACAAATTCTTTCACTGCTTGACGGTTTTGTTGCTTCCTTCACAATGGAGAAAGGAACACTTTTGTCACAAGACATCACATAGCGCTGCTGTTCAGAACTGAGTATCAAAAGCAATAAATAAAACATTTCAGAACATAGTACTTAAATTACTTATTTCTGAAAGTACAACGATTTGTACTACCAAAATACCACATTTTCTTGATCTTCTCAGCTACAAATAATGATCAATTATCAAATGACACAGCCAGTGGAGGACACAGCTGTTCTGTGCTATGACATAATATATGCATTATGTATTATATAATTATGTATTTATAATACCAACTAGTCTACAGGCAGATTTATCTTAAGGTTATATTTCTCATTATCTGCCTACCAGCTCGATAGGCAACTCTCAACAAGACCTGTTCTTGACCTTCCAGTTGCACATTTGCAATCCTGTCACTGACCACAGATTGGTCTTGTCTTCCTTGCTCTTCCTTTCTAATTTGGCATCCAGAATTTCTGTACATTGATGATGAGCAAGGATATCTAGAAAGTCAGCTGTTACATCACGTGTTCAGTTGCCTTGCTTACTGAGACACAAGGATTTTAAGTGAGTAAATAGAATATCAACGCAAGGGACAGACAGAAAAAAACAGAGGTATGGTCAAGAAGTAGAACCTTTCATCAGTACTTTCCAGTCACCCACACCTGACGAGTACAACACTTTTTTTAGCACAAATTAAACAGTTGTACGACACCGCTGAGGCTGAAGGATGAAAGCAGTCAGTGAGAGGCAGAACTAATAGTATCAACAGCAAAGACTTAAACTCAATAGCTTGCTCATTTCAAAGAATTTTGGTATTTTTGCTGTTTCAGTTGTTTTTGGTTCCTTTTCCTTTGACAAATCTTTTGAAGATTTATCATGATTGGACAATGTAAACCTAAAAAAACAAACATGATGCATTTCAAAATCAAATAATAATATTATGTGGATTGTCATTTATGCTAGTTTAAAATGGAGTTTTTAAAAAGTCATGGGCAAATCTTGCAAGTACAGCATTTGTGTCACCAACCAGGAAGTAACTGTACAGCCAGAATTTGAAAGTAAAATAAACTCTTCACTTATAATATGAAAACTTTGTTTAACATACACACACACACACACACACACACACAGACACACACACAGACACACACACAGAAACACATGCACCAGCACAAACACACACACACACACACACACACACACACACACATACATACTCAAGGGCGTACGTCTCATTTTCGCCCTGTCTGTAATAAAAGTAACCAAACGAGCAGAACAACAAAGAAACGATCACGACACTGTCAGTGACTACGGCAACCTCAAAATACCATCATGCCACCTCCATCCCCCAACCCCCTACTCCTTTTGTTTGTTTTAGTTGAGGTTTTATGGCGCTCGCAACTGCATAAGGTCATATGAGCGCCAGAATATTAGAGGTGTTACAACAGAG